CCGTCATGAGCTAACTTTTGGGGTTGAGTATTATGCAAGATTTTCTATGCTATAGACCATTCATCTAAGCCTACATCATCAAAAGGTACTTAAAGACGCGTTGACAAGCATCGTGAAGTCGTCGTCTAATAGGAACATACTCGAAATATTTCCAAGTAGAGCAAGCCTTCCTTTGCACTTGTTATATATACTTTTAGGTTGTCCAAGCAATACCATGGAAATTCAAGAATAAGTAACATTAACAACTTCAACTACCTATTTCCACAAGGTCTTATCATACGTGCAATAACTTTATTACCACTATTGAGAGTGAGTTTTTTAGTTTGAACTATTATCGAATAGTTTGCAAAATACACCTACACGTTGATTACACCAAATCTTTGTCTAAAAATGTATGTATTAGACGTATTTGTCCATACAATCTTCAATTATCTGACTTATATAACGACTCTATTTGCTATAACATCTCTAAAATCCTTTAACTCTCCCCTTCAAGTTGGAGATATCGATGCCACGATAGAGATGAGACCATGTCGGGAGAGGAAGATGATGGACGCCACAATTGGAATAAATTAATTTATATGGTGATTATTTTAACTTTTAACTTTTGACTTAATATTGATTAATTTAGATTTGTGAAATACCATGTGCATTATTCTTCAAAGAAATAGTGTCCACACATCATCATAAATTATTCGAGATCTGTTTTAGCTAAGAAACTCATACTCTCAATAATATAAGTAAAAATTCAATAGAAGATCGATAGTTCAAATAAATTTCCACTCTCGACTCTTTTTGAATTTTTTTTAGTAAAAAAGTATTAATTGCAAGTTATAAAATTAGTCAAATTAATTTCGGACCAAATTAATTTAGAAGTGGAGTATAAGATAGTGGCATTTCAATAGTGAATTTATTATTGCGAAAAAATGAGTTGCAATTACTTGTATCGCTCCGTTTCTCACAGACTCCCTAATTTTATTTGTTATACCCCAATTGCCCCTACCATTTTGAGCCTTAAATCCCCATTTTGCCCTTCCCGGCGCCGGCGACAATTGCGTTCATTTTCCATTTCCGCCGGCAATAGCTTCACCTGGGATGACGTTTTCCGAGTACCGGAATCTCCTCAAAATGATGACTCTGCCCTCTCTGGTTTTTTCGATAAAATCAAGCTCTGTAATCGCGATTTGGTATTCCCCACACTCTTTTTCACTCTTCATAGAGCCTTGTACTTTTTTATTGATGAAAAATAACAAGTTTTAACAGGAGAAGCAATGTGAGTTCATGCCTTTCGTGATTGAGGACCGAATAATTGGCTACGTTCACCATGGGTAATTTCAAATTTTTGCTTGATTTTTTTTTATGTTCATAATGCACCTTCCGTTTCTCTTTTTAACTAAAAGAAAAAGAATCGGTTCAGTGTTTGTCGTGATTCATTGTGAAATTTGAAAAAGAAATTGTTTTTGGAAAAAGTGAATTTTTTTTATGGATAACATTGCCCATTTAAAATAGAATTAGTATAAGCATGCACTCAAACTTGGTCTCAATTGGCAAGTAAACACTCTAAATTTGAGAGTGCACGTCTAGCCACCTTAACATGGTCTCAATGGATAACTAAACACTCCCAACTCATCCCCACCGTGTCTTGTGGACACCTGATGTTGATGGTGATACATAAATTGCGTATATATCTGGATGATCATTTTGTAAGTTGAGGTGTCTAAATACATAAATTGCATATATATCTGGATGATCATTTTGTAAGTTGAGGTGTCTAAATGTATACTCTCTCAAAGTTGAAGTGCTGACGTTGCTAGGTGTGGCCAAGTTTTAGTCTACATTTGTGTATTATGTCAATAGAATTTGGTTTATCTTTGCATCAGATAGCTATTAGTGTTTTAAAAGTTTTTTGTTTTGTTTGATAATATATTTGGTTATTTAGGTTTGCTGATTTTCTGAAGCCATTTCAGAATGTATTCATTTTCCCACTTGATAATACCTTTGGTAGTCATTTTGGATGTTACTGCACTTTACATCCAAACTTGAGTACACCCAACGATCGAACCAAAGCTGTAGCCAATGTCGTTAAGTCTTTGGGAGAACTGATCCCCGGCATAAGAAATGAGGTACTTCAAACCATTTGATACCTTTTGTCTATAAATTTGCAACTTCTGAAATCTTTTAGCTAAAAGTCCTAAGACTAACTCGTGTTTCCTCCATGATAACATCTATGCTTCGTTGATCACGGGTAGTTGTTTCCGGTTGCTTCAGCTTTTGGGGAACAAATATTTTTTTCACTGGAACGAGCTGCTGCACCGTACTTTGGGATAAAGGTGTGTTATTCAGTTTTTCCACTTGAACTAATTACATCATCTCTTCATAATGTGTCTATAAATCATAAAAATCTTTCTAAATAGATTTTGTCTTTGTTTTGATCTGACCACTTGTATGAATGTCATAACGGGCTTGTTTCTCAGCTTATGATGGATATTCATACTAACTACTTATTGTTAGTTTGATAGCTTAAGAAGGCCTTTTTTCTTTTCTAACGAGGTCCCCAACCCGTTAACAATTCTTATCATGTGACTTTCGCTCTCTTTATTATATGTTCATGGTGGTAAGTGAGGGAATTCCTAGCAGTTTTTGTTTTTATTTTGTCTCGAACGTCGAGATAAGGTCATTAGTCAACTATATCACTTTGAGTTTTCCAGTTCTTGAAATCCTTTGAACATCTTGAGTTGATGTCTAGGTTGGTATTTACAGTTGTAACTTTTCCCTTGATTTGATCTCTGTTTATGAGAAGTAGAGACAATTGAAACCCCTCGATTATAAGCCCTTGCAGTTCTTTCCAGAGGCCATCCAAACATTTCTTTCTAGAGGCCTATGAATTTTTATGATGCTTTGTTGATAACAGGCGTATGGAGTTCATATGAATGGCTATCTTGAGAAAGATGGGCAGGAATTTCTATGGCTAGGAAAGAGAAGTGAACAAAAAGCCACCTATCCTGGAATGCTTGATCATTTAGTCGCTGGGGGATTGGTATGTATCACCCTTCAAGGTTAATGGTTTATCACAGATTGTCATTATATATGTACCTGTATCCTTACTGGTAGTACGGATTTAGTCACTCCCTTTCCTTGGATCTAAACATGCTTCAGTTGAAAATTCTTTTGCCACTTTATAAACTGCATTTTGTTCATTCCTTATCAAAGAAACCTACCAACTATTCTTTGTTGCGGAACATGCTGTAGTATATTAGTCAATATCGAGTAAACATGATTATTTCTTGGTTGATTAATGTTCATTTATGTGGTTTTGCCTACAGCCACATGATATTTCTTGTGGAGAAAATCTTATTAAGGAATGTGAAGAGGAGGCAGGGATACCAAGATCTATTTCCCATACGTAAGATCAATTCTCCAGTTTGAAACAATAACCATCAATCTAAGGCTCTCGACTATCTGCTTTGATGTTTTATATGGTATAAATGTTTCTTCATATTTCTCCATTTCTTGTCATGATCAGAGCTAGGCCAGTTGGAGCTGTGTCCTACATTGACATAGAAGGGTATAGGATGAAGAGAGATGTCCTCTTTTGTTATGATCTTAAGCTTCCTGACAGCTTCATTCCTCATAACGAGGGTAAGCCTACTAAATTTTCTATCTGTATCCAACCACTAAACCAAACCTTTTAGATGTATTTAGTTTCTCCGTTAAGCTATTTAAAATGCTGTGTTTCTGATATTGGTCTTCATGTGTTACAAGCATTGGCTTCTATCTACTTATTTCAGATGTTCACACAAGTTTAATCAATCTCTGTTCTTTTGTGTTTTGTTTTGTGAAAGATGGGGAGGTAGAAAGCTTTCAATTGGTCCCAGTCACAAAAGTTGCAAATATCATCCGAAACACATCGTTCTTCAAAGCAAACTGCAATCTTGTCATTACTGATTTCCTTTTCCGGCATGGGTAAGAATATCATACCATTTATTTTGAACATTTCCATCCAACTTCTAAGCCATTTATTCGATCTATATATTTCTGTCGTGCCACATTAAACACCACTCATTCATGAAGTTTAAAGCAACATTCTTTTTGTAACAAGGATCTAAACTATCTAAACCAGTTCTGAATTAACGAAGTTACTCAAAGTTACATTTCTGTTAGACCATATTCGCGACTATCTAGTGGTTGTTGACTGAAATCTCTGGAGAAATTCAAATATTGAAACAATTATCTATGGTGATTCCATCTTGTTGTTCTCCCTCTATATGCATAATTTATGATCTCGTCGTGGTTCCCTCTGATTCTAATACCACATTATCATTTGAAATGATACCAGGCACATCAAACCAGAAGTGTTTGGGTACCTGAAGCTACTGCAGAGTTTGAGAAGTGGACATTGCTCCTAAGTATAATTGTAAATTATATTGATGGTTGACACTTTGAGGTAGAAGAGAACACCACACAAGGAAACAATTTATTTACTTTTTTTTAAAAATGCATTATTTCATACACAAGTACAATAGGAAGTATTTCATAACTAATGTCTTGCACAAATTCAGTATACAATTTGATGGAATACTCATAAATGAAAAAAAATATTAAATTTCCTATTTTTTTTACTGCTTTTTCAGAAAAGTTTCTGTATATTGCCTTAGAAATAGTCAAATTTAGAGTTCCAAAACATTATTATTAAGATTAATTTAGTAAAATATCGATTAAGCAATTTATTTAAGAGCTAACATGGGTCAAATGAAACGAATTAAGCAAAGTGTAATAATGAAGGAAAGCAAATGAACAAGACTCATACGAAGAATACACAGTTATGAGAAACTTCCTTACTTTATCTTGAAAAAAAAAAAAGTACCAAAAATCCCAGATATAATTATTAAAATTAACTATGATTTTTCTAAATACATGAAATCACACCTGATTAAAGTTACTGGATTTTTGCAAATCCATAAGTACATTCATCAAAACAAATGGTAGAATTTATCTTGTCAAAACAAATTTTCCGCAAAAAATAATGCTATAGTTGAAAAGTTTTTCAGATTTCGAAAGATATTCCAAAGTAACAAACCTCGTTTGGATATATATATATATATATATATAAAAGTTGATCAAGAGACATTCAAACGAGATTTGTTACTTTGGAACTATCATCCGAAATGTTTAGAACTTTCCAACTATAGCATTTCATTTTGCTGAAAATGCTTAAATGTTTGCTGAAAAATTACTGTCTTTCTTTTGAAAACTAGAAACAAGTAATTTAGAAAAATGATGGGATGGATTGGGTCATATGGACACTTTCCTTTTGTAGGTGTAAAATTCTTTCTGGTCAAAGTAGATGCATGTTTTTTGTGTGAGCTAACTACCATTCCAACAACTTTGGTACATGCATAAATTTTGTGTGCATATATACTTCATAAAATAGTATATATATATATATACTATTTTATTTGTTTCTTTTCTTTTAGTCAGTTACATAAAAGATATATTTTTATATGACCATTATACATAAATATATTATTTAACTTGGTCTCCATTCACATTTACACCCTCGAACTCTGGGTGTGGATAAGTAGACAATAGAACTTAGACACATGAGTTCTACTTGACATGGTACACATAGGTCTCAAATTGTTATGTAGGACGTGTGTGTCTATTTGTTCAACTTTAAAAAAAAATTGAAGTGCCTACTTGTATAAATTCAAAATTGGCGGGTGTAAGTGTTAATTGAGTCCAAGTTAAAAGGACATAATACATAAATATGTCCTTTAATTTGGTCTCATTTTACAATTACGTCCTCCAACTTTGGATGTACACAAATATATACTTAGGGGTCGTTTGGTACAAAGATCAATAATGCAGGGATTAGTAATGCATGGATTAGTAATGCAGAGATTGGTAATGCAGGGATTAGTAATGAACAGAGATTATTTTTATCAAGTGTTTGATTCATTGTTTCTTACCTAATTTTGTGTGTGGTTTAAAAGTTTACAAAAAAAATTCTTTCCAATTATAGCCTAGAGTTATTATGAGATTTTCTATTTCATGTAATTGAGTCAAGGTAGATAATTAACGAAGAATATTATTTGAGGGGGTATTCTTATCTTTACCTAGATTAGTCTCATGGTATTAGAGCTAATACCACCAAATGGAAGGTATTAGTTATACACCCTCTAATACCATGTAGGGTGTATAACTAATCCATAGATTTGATTTAAAATTCCTACTAAACATAGTATTAAATAATTCCACACATAATACTTTAACTATTTCTCCTAATACTCCCTGCCAAACGACCTCTTAAACTTGTATAAAGTTAAGTAAATCGACACACGTGTCCTACGTGAAATCTACATAACAATTTACATTCTATGTATATTATATCACATAAAATTCATGTATTCACTTGTTCAACTCTTATGGTCATTTTACCTTTCTTTGCCTTTTCACCTTCTTGTATTATATAATAATTATATTATTGAATGATTCTTTTCCTTGACCAAGAGCCAGAATTTATAAAAAGGATAAATATAAAATAATAAATATATCTAGTAAAGCATAACCATGAAACATTTTTTTGTTGGTTGAAATAAGAGATATCCTCCAATTCTAGTCATTATCTTACAATAAACAGAAGTGCAAATGATATACGATAACTGATTAACGATGATCAATTGGGAGTAATTAATAGATATTCAAAGTGAAGTACATTAAGAACGAGAATATAAAATAAAATATTTATGGAGGATATACACTTATTTGACTAAGGTCGCGGTTATACTTTCATAAGATCTCCAACAAATTAAAGAAGGAAACAAGGACATTGTGTTAAAGAGATTCGAAATATTATAAGACGCCTTACGATTTTGAATATTGCAAGTATATACATATTGAAAATAACAACAATTATATGGATATCAAACTACTAAGTCACACTATAAAGGTGTGAGAGAGGGTGGCGGAGCTAAGGGTGAGGAGGAATATGTCTATTTCTGAGAATCAGTTTAAATTTATGTCAAGATGTTAAACTACATCAGTCATTTATCTGATTTGAAATCTGGTTGAACAATATACATAAAGGAAGAGACATCTATATCTAGTATTCATCGATCTATAAAAAACATATGATAACATTTCGATGAAAATTATGGAGGTGCATGTGCTAGAAGGCTAAAGGCACTCCTATGGCATATACAAGAGAGATTAAGGACATATATAGTGGACCCAAGACCCGAGAAGGAACTCGGAATATTTTTAAATTATGATGATATTTCACCAGAAATCAACTCTTAACTTATTTTTAAAAATTATTAATTTAAAAACTATTTTTACCAATTAAGGGATAAAAAATATTTGCTATGTTAGAAATAAGAAAGAACTAAGAGTAATTAAATAAAAATTATCTTTAAATAAAAATTATCTTACTCTTAAAAAATAGAATTTTCTATTATAAATTAATCTCATTTCAAAATAAATATAAATCGCCTATTAAAAAAATTAAAAAAAATAACTTGTACATCAAAGGTGGGTCACTAGAGGTAGAACAAATTACAAACATCAACTTGTGTTCAACAAGTGGAAACTTGGTATGCTTAGCCTTTTTACATTTTCATGATAAAGGTAAACATTATAATATGTATGTTTATAGGATGTGTTTTTTCCTAATTCATTAATTCTCCAACAGTAAAAAAAAACATGACACCATAATCATGCGCCGCAAAGTTCTCTTAAGTTTAAAATATATATATAAAAAAGAAGGTATTATTTTTAATAACAAAATTTATAGACGAAATAATCGTACTTCAGACATAACATGTTATAAGTAGATAGAAGATTTGAATATTAAGTTTTATTGTTATTAATTATCATCAGAAATACTTTTACGTATTTTGATTCATAAAATAAATTAGCATGCATATTGAATACATAAATAAATTAATGTGTTATTTTTTTATATAACTTTTTAATTTATATATAGTAAAAATGGATTTGAACAATTTTTAGTCATATATAATATTACATTGTTTATACATGACGAAAAATTACACTATTTATATATGAATAGATAGATATAATCAACAAATAATGCATATATATATAGGTATAATCAACATATATTATACATAAATTGTATAATAATTGATCAAAGATGAACCCTGAACCTCTACTAACTCACTCCGGCTTCGGAGACATCTCACCCATAGTATTAGCCCCACAATGCCCACCATTCTCACACCCTACCCCCACCTTCAACTCTATAATATCAATCTTAATTATATATAAATATCATTTTAGTAAATTTTATGCTTAACTATAAACAAAAACATACACACAAAAAAAAAAGAGGAGAAAAATAGTTTTCTAGCTCCTTATCAATTTTTTACGTTCACACGAGATGTGGAGATCTTAATTTTCACATATAAAATTTTTTAATTAATTATTTTCGTATATTCAAATTATAAGAGAGTAAGATATCTCGTTCCCAAAAAAAGTATTTAAAAAATAATTTTTTATAAATAAAAGAAAAATCAAAAACATTGAAAAAAGTATAAACTCCACACTGACTATCACCTAACCAAAAGGACGGATCACCCAAGTGGTCTGACCTCACCCAAAGTGATAGTGCTCATAATTGAAAATGTTTAAGACCCTCAAAATTAAATACTCTTGTAGAGAATAGGGAAAAAATAGGTCTAACGAGGATAACATGAGAAGAAGAGAGCAAACTTATAGCCAAAAACAACTTGCCGGAACTAGAAAATGGTCACAACTTTTGGTCCGGCAAGTCATCCTTGGCTGCAACTTGACTCTCTTCAACTTCATGCAAACCTTATAGACCAAAAATTTTAGATTTGTCTATCAAATGGATGTTGGCAAAGTGAGTATATATAGGCTAGGAAATTAAGTGATTGCTAAATATGTGTCCCACCCTTGTAAGTTTTTGACAAGGCTAGTAGGTCCATTTAACATGCACCAAAATAATTAATGGTTTTATTCTGTCAATGTATATTTTATCATAATTTAAATTTTAATAGAAATAAAAATATTACTAGGTAATTTTTTTCTATCGACCTAAGACTTTTTGATACTTGTATTTATTGAAAGGTATCAAATCCCATTTTGTAATAATCAATATATGTGCTACTTTAACTCTCGAACACCACCATTTATAAAAAAAAAAAAAGAGGTAAGACACATTGTTTGTTTAAAAGTTTGATTGATTCTTTTTATTCTTTTATAAATAACGAATTTTGCGCATAACATATCCTAAAAAGTTTGTGATAGAATAATTAATATTGTTTCATTTTTTACCAGGATTTTTACGTTTAAATCATATAAATAAAATATATCTTTATTTTTAAAAAAACTAATATAACTTTTCAATATAAATTCAAATTTACAATAGTCACAAAATTGACACTCAACTTTGGGTAGAAAACTAAAAAAAGAATCTTGTGCATAAAGATTGAAAATATCAATGTTTTTTTTTTAAAAAATTAAATACTTCCACTACCAATGTTGCATAAACATGATTAAGAATAATCAATGAGTATGGAATGTTTTGTAGCTAATAGTAATTAAGAAAGTGCACCCTGTCTGAAAATGCTTTCCATCTAAGGTAACATGCCCAAAAAGGAAAAAGCTTACTATATGCATCCAAAACCCTCCAATTATGGGCTCATAAAGTTATTTAATTTGGTACAAAATTATTGTCATCCATAACCTTCCAATTATGAATTACTGCAACTTGTTCTCTAAGTGAATATGGAGGGTCCCAACTAGTGATTGATATATAAAAGCAAGAGCGGATTCATGTGGGTTTTAGGATATCTGAACTCTCTCGATAAGAAGATGATAAATTTTATGTATTTCTGTGAATATAATAATTTTAAATTCCCTCATGAATAAGAAGCACATTGTAGTATAGTGATAGATCTCCTTTTAAATTGACTCTAATATCCAGGTTCGAATTTCATTGTGAACAATTTCTTTTTAGCTTTCAGATGTAAACTCAAAAGAATTCGTTATTGACATTTTTTTTTAAACTTCTCTTTATTTAATTTCAGAACTAATACAAATGTGCTAAAAGAGTAGATTTAAACTCCAAAAAATTCAAACATGAAAGAGAATTTAAACGTGCTAAAAGGTTTTCTTGTAACGGAACTGACTTTTTGTACCTATAAAACTATATATATACTCTACTACTTAGAATTGTGTTTTGTTGACTTATTCACATGTTTTATACTTGTATCAAACTTCTTAAATGAAAATCCTGACTCGGTCCCCAAATAAATAGAACAATCATCGGTAGAAGGAATGTTGAATTAATTTGAATAAAGTTAAAAAAAAAAATAGAAGAGAGGGGGGGGGGGTGTAAAAATGTAAAAATTAAAGGACAACACAAATAGAATAAAGTTCAAATGAGCCACATAACATTGTGGATCATGTTAGTGGATTATGCAAGAACAATTTTACAAGTATTTACATATTTACATAAAACAAAAGTTTTAATAATAAAACAAGAGAGTGTAACGTAGCCAGGATCAACTTGTCAATAAAAAATAATCTCTATATATACTTGCGAAGTGAATATATTCTCATGTCCTCATTTAGATCATATAGTATGTTTCTTTGATTTATGGAAATTCAATAATTTTTGTCCAAATCCTATATATTATATACGTATTCTCTTTTTCTCTTTCTGTTTATAATTTATGTGACGATATTTAGATCTCGAGAACCAATTGAAAAACTTCTTTTATAATGATTTTTCATATTTTTTAAATATTTAAAATTACTAATTATTGTAATATACAGAACGATTTATGTAATTTCAAAAATATTAAAGATTTCATATCAAACTTAATAGTAAAAATTAAGATGTTTGAATCTTGATTACCGCAAAATATTACGTAAACGAACGATGGAATACTTAAATGTTTATGAAAATATTTATAAATATTTTAATTTAAATACAAGAATCTTGATTAGCGCAAAGTATTACGTAAACGAACGATAGAATGCATAAATATTTATAAATATTTTACTTTAAATATAATTATTATCGTATATTCACTTTAAAAATATTATAAAAAATTTAAATCTTAAATTTTACTTGGTTTACCAAGAGCAACTTTTCCTAAATAATTGATTGAGAATCAGACTTTTGGACTAAGAGAAAATATTTTTGGATTTGTCTTGTCATATTCTGTCGATGTCATTTACAAAAGAAAATATTTGAATGGTCTATGAATAGTGAGCATTAAAACCTAGTAAATTAGACTTTTTGATATTGATATATGTAAAAATTGATGCAAAAACATTGGGAATTTTTTCTGAGTATTTTCTTCATTACTAAAAGAAGTGTTTATAGTATCATATACTAAAAAATAAATAATAATTGTACACTTGGACTAAAGTTATTGAATAGTGCCCCAACCTTACCCATGGCTTTAGAATGGTCTATACTATATGCCCTTAAATTCTGTCTTAAACTATCACCTCTATATTTCCATGTATTTATACTCTTTTTTTAAAGCACAAATATATCATCCAATTATTAGAAATAACTTATCTATGACGCTACAATTTAGGCTTATTTATATCGTTACCTTTAAAAAAAAGGTTCAGTCGTACATATTAATATTTTTAACAGAAAATATTGTATTTTTGCAAAATTATTTGTGTGACATGGCCTCTTATTAGAGGTTTACGTCACCTGTCTATTTAAAATACTAGAGATTTAACTAAAATTATAATTAAAATCGAACCCTATTACGAGCTTTATTTAGATGTTAATACTATCAAAATTGATATAAATGAATTATTTTTAATAATAGGATGATATATTTGAGGTGTTTTTTTTCTTGAAAAAATAAAATTAATAGAGATGGAACTATTTGACTTTATAGTGGATTATCTTTCCTCTTTCTATCAAGAAGCTAAGAGAGGCATAACCCTCTTCCACCATGTTATTCAAGTACATGAGGCTACTCAAGATACTTATGGATGCCCATTATTTTTATATTTTATTTTTTAGTTTGAGGATGGGGTTGATCATACACGTGTGTTGGATTTCTGACCCCCAAATTCGCCTTAAGAACAAGCTTATTCGATATGTTCCTTTGAGAAATTACAGCAGTTACATTTTGTGAAGTAAATAAAATAATGACACAATATTTTATCGCGGAAAATCCCAACTCACAAGGGTAAAAACCACGACCTACACCTCTGTAGGATTTAACTCCACTTTATTAAATTTCAAGTCTCAACAAAAGATTACAAAGCTATGTAACCTAAGAAATTATAAACTCTAATTCCTAGACGAATTATAAACTCTAATGCCTAGCTAAGAAATTATAAACTCTAATTTCTAGCTACCCAAAGACACAAAACCCCGGTTTAATATCTTCCAATGTTCTTCAAGTTATACAACTAGTTGAACAACTCCTACTCACAAAACTCAGATTGTAAACAAGACTCTTGAATACAATCTTACAATTTTTCCTCACAAATTGTTTCACTCCCAATAAATCTCAAAACTCTTTTCAAACTTCTTGATCGTGTTTTGATCTTCTCTATGTAAGTGCGCAATTTTTTTGATGCAAATAGCTCCCTATTTATAGATCAAAACTTCAATTGTATAATTCAACTTGTATTTGCCTTCTACAAATCCTTGTTGACTTCTACTTGGACTCCTTTTCCACAAAATTTCTTTAATAAATAAGAAAACACAACTTCCTTAAATAGATTTCCTTAAATAGGAATTAGTTTTCCTTCTTTCACTTGGCTTTGAACTCCCTTTATAAAAGGAAACTTTTTGTACTTGTTGCTTGTCGAAAAAATAATAATTCCACAACTTTATAACTTCTAATTCACGTGGTTGACGTTCTCCTTATCCAAGTCAGATTCGTTCTGTAAGGGACACGTCTGTACAACCTGTTTCTGTATTTGTCAATTATCAAAATCTTTATCATTCTAACAAATTCCCCCCTTTTGATGATGACAATTATACATTTCGAACTCAGCAAATAAGACACACATCTTCCTTCTTTTGCCATGTTACTACTACAACTCCTTAACTTTGTCATACTTCAAAACAACAATATTTTTACAAATTCTCCTTTTTTGACTATGGCAAATTTTATCTGCTTGCATTGAATAGGTACACATAACTCATATGCAACTGCTTCCCCCTTTTGACATTAGGCAAATTCTATACTCATGGCCACTGGGGCTATCACTTACACAAACACTTAAAAATCAAGAACCCAATGAGCTAAAACAAAGAATTAGCATAAACATAGGAGATAGACATTAACCTGAAACTCAAACCCAATATCATCATTAATCAAAAAGCATATACACCACAAATGTAATCAAAATTAAACATAGAATCAAGCACTTGTGTTGAAAAAAAATTTGGAAGTCAAAGGCTAGAGTGGTTAGGTAATATCAAAAGATGAGAGATAAAAAAGTCATTTTTCAGCAGCAAAAATATCTTTTGGATTAACAAAATTAGCAGATTTCAAAGTTAACCTTGGTCTATGCACGCTCAATCCTTTTTTTCCTTTTTTTTCACTTTTAAGGAACTTTTTCAATCAATCATGTTCTTTCTGCAGAAACGATAGTTCACTCATCTTTAATTTCAATAGAGTCAGTAAGAGGAACAAATTTTCTTGAATATCACTTGTAAAGGAACATGTTCTCTCAATATGTTCCTTGGACGTGTACTATCAACTGCAGCACCAATTATAAATTTTATTTTATTTTATATCAATTCGAAATTCCAGTTTATATGGTTTCCAATAGAAGAACTATGTTCGACAGATGTATCTC